CGGCGGGGCGCAAACGCCGCAGGTGACTTAGGCGGGGAGCCGGGTGCGCGGGCGGCAGCGGAGGAGCGGAGGCGGGAGGCGGGCTCCCGCTCGCGTCCGCTCACAGCCTGGGCGCCGCGGGGCTGAGGAGACGAGGCGAGCCCAGGAGGGTGAGGGGCGCGCGGCACCCACTGGACGGCCGGCGGCGCTCGCGGCCCTCAGCATGTTTCGCGAGGCGAGGGTTTTGCTCCCACCCGTGGGCTGAGGCGGCGGCGGCCAGAAGAAGCGACATGCACCTGCCCGGCGCGGCTTAGAGGACGCGGCAGGCGGCAAGTCCCGGCCGCCGGTCGGAGGGCTCTCTTCGCCTGGCCGCCGCCGTCTCCCGCCGCCTCGGGCCCAAGCCGGAGCGGCGGGGTGGGCGCCCCGACATGGCGGCCCGGAGCGCCCCGAACTGCCACCTGCGGCTCGAGTGGGTGTACGGCTACCGGGGCCACCAGTGCCGCAACAACCTCTACTACACGGCGGCCAAGGAGATCGTGTACTTCGTGGCGGGCGTCGGCGTGGTGTACAGCCCGCGGGAGCACCGGCAGAAGTTCTACCGGGGCCACAGCGACGACATCATCAGGTACCGCGGGGCGGGGGCGGCTGCCGTCACCTCTGCGAACCGCTCGCGGCATTTGCACTTGCCCGACCTTCTGGGGGCCGCCGCCCGCCCCTGCAGGGAGCATCGCCCCGGAGAGCACCCCGTTAACGGTCTTGTCCCGGGTGCACCCTGTTAATCCCCTACAAACGCCTTTCCCCATCATCGGGCTCCGGAGTCGCTGTCTCCGGTCTAGGCGGCGACAGCCCAAGTCCGCGGATCCACTGGGCTTTCTTCAGTCTTATGGCTTCGTGCCCTTTGTCCCTGCATCAAATTTACGAAACTGCAAAAAAAAAAACAAAAAAAAACACGTTATTTTGGGAGCAGTTTACGCCTTTAAATTCTTGCCACAGATTCCTCGTTAAACGAGTTCCAAAAGCGCCAGGGGGATCCCTTTACCTAATGGAGAACCGATCAAAACAAAGTACCGCAAGCTGTAGGCAGGTCCGGCGGAGCGCGCCCAGGTGGCGTCCTGGAGGACACGCACCTCTGGGTCCTAATCATTCGTTCAGGTTTCGCTGCCCGCTGTTACCGGGAGGGAGAAAAGCAGCCCCGGCAACCTTCGGGCAATGCGCTGGACATTAAATTTACACACCTGAGGGCAGTTTGGGGGTAGGTTTTTCATCTGAAAGAAACGGCTCAAAATCAGTTCTACCGTTTTCCAATTTTCTTGTCTCCTCTTCATTAAAGTACCCCGAAATAAGTTTTCTTTTGTAATTTTTACTTACGTCAAATGTTTTTTTTTCATTGTAATTCTTCTTTGGGCGATATCCTAAAGTTGTTCCCAGTGCTTATTGACATTTCTTTAGTGAGCGGTGTATTTGAAATGTAATTTTCAATCAGTGTCTCAGCAGAACTTTTGTGCCAAATAAAGTTAAAAGCTGCAGAAATTATTCCAGGCCCTTGGTGATTGACTCCAAGCACAGCTTGTTTGTCCTTGACAGAGAAAGAGAATATATTTAAAAACATTTTGAGAATGTGTTTGTCTGCTACTTCTGGGTTTTTAACAGAGATGCTGTGACTGGATTTAGTTACTCCCGTTTTATTCCCTTATTTATATGTTCCCCAGGATTTAAATTGGGCATTTCAGATCCCGTATCTCAGTTCGGTGTCTTGCAGCCAAGAGACTCTGGTACTTAAATTCCGCGAATAACACAGTTCTTCTGTTTTGCATGCCTGTACATCTGTGATCTGTAAGAGGGAAACAGAGGCAGGCAGGCCTAGGACAGACACAGGGTAGGGCAAGATGGAGGCTCGATAAGGACAGCAACATTGAGATTGTGGAATAGGGAATCAGGTGGCAGCTTGGGTTCATTTGTTATTCACCCCAAGAATAGAATTTACCCCAGTTCTTTGCTTTTTTCCCTAATCCTTTCCAGTGTCACTCTTTCCAACGTGCTAGGTCTCCCACAGCACAGAGGATAGTAGCTTTGCCTAGTTGAAGCAGCCCTTCTCCAAATACTGAGTCTGTTAAGTTGAATTCAGTAGGTGGGATAGGTGTGAAGGATTTTGAGGTCTTCTCCGAGTGTACTTCTGTTGTTTTCACTCCTTGGTATTTGAGAGCTGTATGGCACATAGGCCTTTCAAAACGAGATATAATTTCATTGATGGGGTAAATTATGTTTTTAAATTATGGGGTAAATGACTACTTCCAGCAGTAATTAGAAACTATGTTATATGTCACACTGCTTGAATTTTTATAATTGTGTTTCAGTAAATTCTAAGGAGAGTAGTGCTTTTGCCTACACACACACACACACACACACACACATAGTTTGCACAGCTTATAACACACATGTTATCTCAGAATACTTCAAAATGGCAAATTACTCGAATTTTTGCCATAATAGGATACATGCTTATGAGTTTATGCAAATGATTTATCCTTAAAACAATTTATAACAATAAAAGGGCTTCCTGAAAAGTTGCAATGGGATAGTAAATCTGAATCATGTGGCATCTTGAAATTGGTGGCATAAATTTAATACAGCACTAAGAATATAATTTAGAAATTAGTTAAAGGGCTCTGGAAATTTTATTTCAAACCATGACAGATCAGCCTTGTTTGTGAAATAGATTAGGCAAATGTTCAAACGTTTTTTTAATTCAATTTCTGAAATATAAGTATAGAAAGTACTCCAGTAATTTTTCAGTTATGTCACAGCAGAAAATGTAATATTTATAAATGTGATGCATAGTGGAAAATAATGTTGCTGTAATGGTAGCCTTAGTAATAAAAAGTCATTGCTGTTTTGTTTCCATATTTGCTTGAAACTTAGGTAAAACTTTTTTGCTCAGTTATGACTTAGTCTGGAGCTAACCAGAATGAGCAGGTCATTGTTTTTAGGTTTTGAAAATCTAAGTGCTGTATTGACTGTAAAGAATGAATCACAGCCAGTGTATCATTTGCTTACCGGTTCTTCTATCATCTTAATTACATCTAGTATTGCTAATGATGGTGCCACATGACTATGTTTCTTGTAGTTGTTTTACTTCTTTTTGCTATATATCTACATACTGTATACTTCTCTACTAATTTATCCTTTAGTTATATTTATTTCAGCCCTACTGATTTATATAGAAATTAGTTTCACTGTCAGAAATAATACAGGAATGTTAGGGTCACTTTTTCTTGTTTGTTTTTTTTTCTGTTGCAAGTCATAATCATAAAATTCTCTAGTTGTTAAGTGTTCATTACAGGTTTAAGACTAGGTTTTAACAAATATTAGACTACCAGTTTTAGTATAAGATGCACATCTATAGTTTGGTCTGTATTTTGAAACAGTTGCCAGTTGTCTTTCCAAAGGATGTGATAGTTTTTGAAATTTATTTTTCTAGTTACTGACCATCAACACGTTTTTGACAAGTTTGTTCTTAAGTAGCGGATGTTATTGACAGTTTTCAAATCATTTATCACCACTGAAGACTGTTGATGGAGTCAAGTTGGTGAACCTCCACATTGAACTAACTGCCTAAGCCCATTGTTATGTATTATGTAGATATGGAATTCAAAGCTGTTCTAAACATGGCCAGAGTATCTCAGAATATGGTGACGAGCTTTAGTGATGTAATGCATGTGAAATACTTTGAAAAGTATATCATATTATATGGTTGTAGGTTAGAATAATAATTATTCATTGCTTCTAGATAGGAGTTTTTTCTTTGGAGAAAATTAAAAGTGTAATAGCTCTTTTCTTCAATTGTGATAGGTGGTGGTCTTAAGAAAACTGATGTGTGTGTGTATATATGTGTATTGCATACATACATAATTACATACTACATAATTTATATATACATATGGAATTTACATTGTTTATTCAATCTCTCCAGTAGGTATAAGTTCCTTGAGGGTTGGGAATTTCATGTGTTTGGTTCATGGCTGTATCACTAGTGCTAAGAATAGTCTGTGGCAAATAGTAGGTGTTCAATAAATATTTCCAAAAGAATAAGTAAAGCAAGAAATACCTAAATTGTGTCCCAGATGCCACTTAAAAAAGTGTCTTAAGAAGGTGGGAGTGATCAACTCTGGCAAATGGTGATGATAAATCAAAAAAGATGAGAACAGAGAATTGACCAGTGGATATGGCAGATGTGGAGGTCATTGGTGACCTTTACAAGAGCTGTTCTGGTGAAATAAAACAGAGCCAAGGCTGAATAGGAGAAAAAGAACTGAAGATAGTGAATACAAACAACTCTTTCAAATATTCTCTCTTTAAACAAGACCACTGCATGTTACCTCTCCCCAGAATGCTATACCTTCATTCATTTATTCTGATTACTTTCTCCCTGTTTTTCTTAAAGACTCAGATTAGGTATTATATTCACAAGGAAACCTCATTGTGAACTGTTATGTTCCCATGTACATACCATATCACATGTACACTAGTTCTATCCCTAAGTACACAAGTACACATAATAAGTGATTCTTTACTTGACAGATTGTGTTCTTAACCTCTGAATACCTTAAGGCTGGGAACGTTTCACAAAGCAGATGCTCAATAAATATTTCTTTGATGAGTGAAAAAGCCTTGAAAGAACAGTAAATTCTTAATAGCTTCTAAGAATTTACTTATTATTCCATGTTTTTCTTAATGTATATCCAAAATATTATATTTCATTAGTTGTCTGTATATTCAACTTGAAACACCATAAAATAATAAAGGAAAATAGTTCTAATGGAAATCTAAAAATTCGCCTTTTCCCTAAGTAAATAATGAAGATATATTTAATGTACATTTATGACAATTTGAATTATTATTCTAGATAAATCCTACCTTTCCCTGAAAACACCTCTTAATTTTATCCCTTAAACTACGCAGTACTCAACAAAAAAATTAACCATAAATATTTTTATATCCAGACACATAAAATGAAATCTTATAGGAAAAAAATTATTATATAGTTTGTGAAATTTGAGCTCACCTAGTTATAGTTACTTAAACACAGGGACATTTTACTAAATCTCAATATTTTAATACTTTTGAAGTACTGCTCCTAGATATTTCACAGTGCTTAAGGAAATTCTGCTATCAGATTTGAGGGGAGGATTTATACCCATTTCTCAAACTAGTCATGTTAAGAATTCTAGGAATGCATGTTTTGGAATACAGATTGGCATTGTGCTTCCTGAATATAATCACCTGGGGCACTTTTAAAAAACAGATTTCTAGGTTTCAGTTCTAGAGGAGTCTGACTTAGTGTATCTGAAGAAAAGGTTAGAATTGGCAAAATGCTCCTTAAATGACTCTGATTATCAGCCAGATTTGGGGAATATTAACCATATATTTGGAAACATTAAGTAGAAAACAGGCTTGCAATAATTCCTGCCAGACCTTAAAAAATGGTTACCCTGAATCCATATAAACACAAAAAATATTGATCCACCATGGAAACATACATTCTGAGTTGCTTTTCCGACTACAGTTTTGACTTGTGTTGAATAAATGAAGTTTCTATACCATAAATACAAAGCTGCCAAAAACCAC